GCAAGTTTCCCCCTGGTAAAAAAAAAAAAAAAAAAAAGGAAAGACTGCTTGACTCAGCTACAGAAAAACCAAAACTTCTAAATGGCAAAAGCCTGTAAACAAAGACAAGAGAAATGATAAAAAGGGAGAAACACTTGCAAAACCACAGAAAAGGAGCCAACCTCCCTACTGTGCATCACATATATATGGCAAGAAAAACAAATGGCAAGAAAAATGGGCAAAGGGTGGGAACAGAGGGCTCACAGGAAAGACAATATGAATGAACATAAACTTTGAGAAGATGCTCAAACTCACGTTGCAACAAAAAAGCAAACTAAACCACTGCCGAGACATCCTTTTTACCTCTCAGACGGGCAGAATTCCCCAGGTCGGCGGGATTGGGGGAAATGGACCCTCTGGGATGTGCTGCCAGAGCACAGCCTACCACAGCCAAGGAGGGCAGTCTGGCAAATCTACCAGGACTCTATGTTCACCTGCTTCGACTTGGCGAGGAATGTGTTCTATAGATATACTTGACCCTGAACAACCTAATGTACGGAGTCATGTACTGCTGCATTGTCTCAAGCACCGGAAGACTGAAAAGATCTCAGCGTCCACCAACAAGGGACCGGATGATGGATGGAATACCACGCAGCCCTGAGAAAGGACGGGAGCTCTTTATGTGTGACAGCGACTAGCCCACTGGGCACACGGTTAGGTGAGAAAAGCCACTGCCAAGCAGCAGGTGGGAAAAGTGGGGTTTGGGGGGCATACAGGCATTCCTCAATATCAGAATGCTTGCTATCCAACCTCAGGAGACAGACAGACTGGCCACTGCCAAGCAGCAGGTGGGAAAAGTGGGGTTTGGGGGGCATACAGGCATTCCTCAATACCAGAATGCTTGCTATCCAACCTCAGGAGACAGACAGACTGGACGCTTTTGTGAGATATGGTCTGAGAAGAAATGTCATCCTCACGTCCAGGTGAGGATCCTTAGGCTTGGACAGGTGAGTGTGACCTCAGAGTCCCAGGGTCCCAGTATAGCCTCTGCCCAATGAAGTCCAAGCCTGGTTCCTGCCAGCCCCAGCACAGAGTCACCTCCTCGCCCACAGCCTATGGTCAGCGGCCCCTTGCCCATGTGCATGACATGACTCTGCACTGGGTCAAGTTGATCCCACTTCCTGGGCTGCTTTTGGGGGTCAAGGGCCCAGCTGTCTCCTGAAGCTCTGGGTTCCATGTCACTGTAACCCACAGAGCTCTCAGGATGGGCTCACTTGGGACCCCCTGGCAGCTCAAGGAGGGCCAGGAGTTTCCAGGGCTCTGTGTACACCCTAATATACTCCAGCACTACCCAGCCCAGGCCACCTGACATGCTGCTTCCCCATGAGGTCCCCAGACTGTCCCCCACATGGACTTGGATGGAGGGAGCTCCTTACCTGTCGCTCAGGTTTGTGTGGCTCCATCAGCTTCACTACCTGTCCCTGCTGCACCAAGATGACCTGAGAGTCTCCAAGCCAGGCGACATGCAGGGTTGTTCCTGTGATGAGCACACACACACCAGTGGTGCCGCTCTGCAGCCGCTGCAGGGAGAGAGGGCTCATGTGGGTGAGGTGGGGCCAAGGGCCTGCCCTGTAGGTAATGCTGGTCCAGACTGACCAACTGTTGGAAAAGCACTCAGCAAGGAGACTGAAGTGCTGAGCCATGCAATGGCAGGAGGAATCTCATAAGGATTACATGGCGTGAAAGGACAGCATGTCCTGTAGGACCCCGTTCATGTCAAATTCTGGAAAATGCAAATTTGTCTGTAGTGTCAGAATGCAGATGAGTGGTTGTCTGGGGAAGGGCGGGAGAGGGGAAGAAAAACAAAGGGCAGGATGAAGATTTTGTGATGAACACGTCTGTTATTGTGGTGAGGTTTCACATGTGGATATATAAGCCAAAACTTGTCAAATTGTATACAGATACTCCTCTGTTTACTATGGTGTTACGTCCCAATAAACCAAATGTAAGCTGGAGATATTGTAAGTGGAAAATGCACTGAATACATCTAACCTACTGAACATCATAACATACATTAGCCTAGAGGTGGGCAAAATCATCCAACACAAAGCCTGTTTTATACTAAAGTGGCAAATATCTCTTTAAAGAAAATAATTAACTAAACTAAACACTCGCTTCAGAGAATCCTTTTCCTACTATGAGAGGCAGCCTTGAGCTCAGAGGCCTCTTTTGCTTCCTGGGGTGACAGTGGCCAGGAGGGGAGGCATGTCAGCTTTCTGCTTGGTTCCTCCTTACAGTTTTAGATACTGTATGGTTTTCTCTGTTGAGATGCCAAGTCTGGCTCTGCTGATTTCCATTTGGGTCTGGGCTCAGAGCGTGTGATGACAGCATACTTCTCCCCTGGTGTCTCCAAACTAAGGCAGGTCTTTTAAGCAATCTGAGCCTCAGTTTCCCAATGTCTAAAATGGGCACAAAACTAGTAGCCACATGTTGGGGCTGCCGGGAGGAACCAGTGGAACCCTGCGGGGAAGGTTCAGTGAGGACAGGTTCACAGAGGAGGGCCTTGTGCATTTGCATTCTTTCTACTTTCAGAAATAAATGCCTCATCCCTACCCGTGGCTGTAATCCCAAGGAAAGAATGTTCCCAGTGGACACAAGCAGCTTTCCAAGACCCTGCCCAGAAGAGCAAGGTGAGGTGGGGCAGTATATTAATCATGTTTTTCCTCTTCTGTATTTTATGATGCTTTGACATCTTGGGGCCTTGCGGATCGTGGAGAGACTGCCCCTTCTAGGGGAGCAAATCTCTAGAGGTAGCAAACGCCTGCCCTGCAAGGGTGCCTTTCATGTGCAAGCCAGCCATCCCAGGCCCGTGCCCCCAAACACCTCCTTCCTTGCCCAGTGTTTTCCCTGATCTGGATGGCCCTGGTGACCAAGTGCTGGACAGCTGGGGATGCCCCTGTAGCTCAGAGTCCACTGAGATTATTCAAATTGTCTGATCCGAAGCTTGCTGGGACTTGCCTGCCCTGCCTCGCCCATGCCTTACTGTGGAGGCCACAGACAAGCTCTGGCCACACTTCCCTCTCGCCATCTGCCTCCTGACCAACACTAGAGTACAGGGATCAAATCCTAGACCTTGGTGTTATCAGCACTGTGCTCTAACCAACTGAGCTAACTGGCCAGCCCTATTCCTGGGTACATTTTAAAGCATGTTGGCCTTCGCTGCACAGCCTGCAGGTCTGTGTTGCTGGGGGCCCAGCATGCTGGATCAGGGGCAAGTTTTGTGTTGCTTCCACTCAAATGAAAAACAATCTCCCCTTCCTGTAAGAATGAAATAACATGATTGCCAGCAATCTGTGTTTAGTGAGGACCTTCCGGCACCACCAACTGCTTTGGTTTCTTTCCCTCTGCAGGGGCCAGGACTCCTCGATGCTAATGGCTACTGGCCCCCCACACTGCACTTGAGGCCCAGCTGCTGGTTCTCACCTCTCGCTTGGCTTTCTGGAGAAACATCTCATCGGTGCGACGGAAGGCTTCTTTGAGGGCTCCGGCGGGGTCCGTGGGCAGCTCCGGCTGGCGGGCAGTGTTGGCGTGCATGTGGACAGCAGCATACCTTGCGGCATCCACCCCTCCATGACCGTCAAACACAGCAAAGTAGGCACGATCCACAGGGTCCTGGTGGGGAATGCAGTGGGAGTCACAGACTTGCTGGCCTGGTGCCTGACAGAGGCTGGGACTCCTGGCCAGCTGCTCTCATCTGGGAAGGAGAGAGTGGAGCCCAGGCACTGACTGGGGTAGGGTCAGCAGGAGTCAGCATGGCCTCCACCATCAGACAGGCCAACCTGGCTCAAGCACTGATGAGCTGGGAGATGTGGAAAAGGACAACTCTTAGGAGCCTCAGTGTCACCATCTGTAGGGAGTTACTGCGAGCGTAAGAAGAGGTACGATGCACCATCACCTCCTGGGGCTGCACATGGAGCAGGGCCCCATCATCATGAGTCTGGGGGGTCAACGTGGCACTGGGGCTTCCCTTTAGAACAGACTCACACTGTGGTCTTTCTTCTGTCCCTTGCTGGGAGGTGAGATGACTGGTGGCCTGGCCCAAAGGTGCCGGGACAATGAATTGGGCCTCTCAGATCCCCCTGGGAAGTGCTTTGACAGCCACCAGCACTTCAGCCTTTAGACAGCAGCTGCTAAATCTCTCTCCTGTCTGGGCTGTGGCTGGCAGTTCTTCTTGGCACCCGGGTGGTCCCCCACTCCTGCTCCACCCCTCCTCAGCTGTCCTGATGCGGGAAGCCGCCCTCCCTGGGCCCTGTGGGTGGAGCACTCACAGACAAGCCGAAGAGCTGGTTGAAAGCAGGAAGGGATACGTGCCGGTCCTCCATCTTGCGGCGAGTGTTCCGGATGGCGTGGATAGAAACCAGCCACTGCCGCTGTGGGACCCGAGCAGTCACTGGCACCTGCTTCTGCCACTGGCTGCACACTTCCCAGAGCTGGTTAAAGCAGCTCCGTGCCAGGCCTTGGGCATCCAACACTGGTGGGCAGTATGGAAGAATTGTTAGGCAAGTCCCAACCAAGCCTCCACTGGCCTTTCCTGTCCCCCTTTTGCGCTGTCCCTTGAAGCTCTCCAGATAGCCCCCACCACGATCCTGCTCAGCTCCCAGCTGCCAGTCACCTCCCAGGGCATTCTGAGCACACCAACCCAATCAGTGACGCATGAGAGCCAGTCCTCAGTATTTAGAAATGTCTGGCTTGGCAATACATCCCAAGAAGTCTCCCATCCCATGATGGAGCAACTCCATGCGTGGGAACCCTCCCTGAGGAAAAAAACGGAAATGAGAAAATAATTTAAGGACAAAGTACAGAATCATTTATAATTCCCTGTTAATTAGAAACAATATATGTCCAATGACAAAGGAATGGCAAGTAAATTGCGGTCTATTCTCTTGATGAAGAATTAAGCTGCTATTAAAAACGACTTTCACAACTAAAAACGCAACTACCATACGAGCCAGCAATTACACTCCTGGGCACTTTTCCCAGAAAAATGACTATGTTCACACAAGAACTTGGTGCACAAATGTTCACAGCAGCTTTATTTGTAATAGCCACAATTTGGAATCAGCCTAGATGTCCTTCCACATGTGAATGATTAAACAAACTGCAGACTATCCATACCTTGGAACACCATCTAGCAATAGAAAAGAACGAACTGATATATGAAATAACCTAGGTTAGTCTCCAGGGAATTATGCTGAGTGAAAACAGCCAATCCCCCAAAGTTACATATTGTATATTCCATGTATATGCATTCTTGAAATGACAAAATTATAGAAATGGAGCTTAGTAGTTGCCAGTGGTTACAGACCGGGGTGTGAGGGGGTGGGGGTGGTAGTGTTAGGGTGGCGATAAAAGGGTAACATGAAGGATCCTTGTGGTGATGAAACTGTTCTGTATTTTGACTATGCTAAGATTCTTACTGGGATATTTTATTATAATTTTGTAAGATGCTATCACTGGGGGAAACTGGGTGAAGTATACGTGCAATCTCTGCATTATTTCTTACAACTGCATGTGCAGCTATGATTATGTAAAAACAAAAAGTTTAATTAAAAACTGAAGGGTAGGGCTGGCCGGTTAGCTTACTTGGTTAGAGCATGGTGCTGGTAACACCAAAGTTGAGGGTTCAGATCCCCGTACTGGCCGGCTGTCAAAAAAACCCAGAAAGGGGCGGCCCGTGGCTCACTCGGGAGAGTGCGGTGCTGATAACACCAAGGCCACAGGTTCAGATCCCATACAGGGGTGGCCGGTTTGCTCACTGGGTGAGTGTGGTGCTGACAACACCAAGTCAAGGGTTAAGATCCCCTTACCGGTCATCTTAAAAAAACAAACAAACAAAAAAAAACCCCAAACAAACAAAACTAAAGAGTAAAACAAAATCTAAAATGCTCATGTCATAATAATATTAAGTGAAAAAGGAGGATAGAAAATTACATATACAGTTTAATCACAACTACAAGAGAAACCACTTGGACCTAGGGAAGAAAAGGCAGGAAGTGCACATAACTAAAACGTCAGCAGTGAGTGTCTGCAGGAGGTGGTTCTATGAACCCACGATGTATTCCTTAAGTACACTTTTTTAATACTCTCCCAATTTTCCATTGTAAGTGTTAGCCCCATGTGATGACTTTAAAATACGTCCATAAATTTTTTGATATTTCTCCTTTCTAGAGGCGAAGCTCAAGTCCCTCCCCATGAATGTGGGACTTAGTGAGCTGGCTGCTTCTAAAACTACGTTGTGATAAGAGACACTGCTGGTTCCACCTTGTGTTCGTTCTGTTCTCTTTCTCTCTCTCTCTCGTCACTCCATTTAGAGCAAAGCCAGCTGTCCTGCTATGAGGACGATCGAGCATCCCCATCGAGAGCCCACATGAGAAGGATCCGCGGCTCCTGCTGACAGCCATGTGACTGAGCCATCTTGGTTTTTTTTTTTTTTTTGTCTTTTTTCGTGACCGGCAACGGATCGCAACCCTCAGTGTCCCGCCCGTACCGGACCGGGACCGGCAGCGGGATCGCAACCCTCGGCGTTGCCCCTGCTCCTCGCTCAGCCAGTGAGCGGGAACCGGTCTGTATGTGGGATCCGAACCCTCGGCGGGAGCGCTGCCACGCTTCGCAAGCGGCGCACTATAGCAGTGCGCCACCGGGCCAGCCCCAGACTGAGCCATCTTGGAAATGGACCCTCCAGTGAGGCCAGCATCCATATGAGCACAACCTCATGAGAGACTCTGGGCCAGAACCACCCAGCTAAGCTGCTCCCAAATTCCAGACCCATGGAAACTGTGGGAGAATGTGTGTGTTTTTTTTTTTTAAAAAAAGATGACCGGTAAGGGGATCTCAACCCTTGACTTGGTGTTGTCAGCACCACGCTCAGCCAGTGAGCAAACCGGCCATCCCTATATAGGATCCGAACCCGCGGCCTTGGTGTTATCAGCACCGCACTCTACCGAGTGAGCCACAGGCCGGCCCGAATGTGTGTGGTTTTAAGCCACTAAATCTTGGGTCAATTTGTTATGTAGCAACAAATTATATACCCTATAACACTCATTTTAAAAGGGAAAAAGACCCAAATCCTACCTAAGCCTAGTTTCTAAAGAAAAGGTCAGCAAGGAACAGGTCCAAAGGAGACTTCCAGGGCCCCTCCTGGCACTCCTGGTAGTCCAGGTCCCTGTGGCAGGTGTAGGTGAGTCAGGACCTGGGGGGTGGTGGGGGCGGGGGGCTCAAGGTCAAAGAACTAAAAAGGGGGCAGAATTTGAGCATTGTAGGCCACACCCAAATGACATCAGGAATTGAGAGAAGAGCTCCAGCCCAAAGGTGGTGGCCATGGAAGAAAAGGAGAATGGGCCAAGGCGAGGGGAAGCCACCTAGGAAGAACCATGAGCCTGGGGGAATCCAGGCATCAAGGCAGGGGTGGGGTCTCTAGTGGTGGATGCAGCTGCCACACCCAGGGGCCCATTCAATTGTTTGGCAAGAACTGGGGGACTGGCAGGCCAGGCTGAAACTCTGTGGGTGCAGGCTTGAAGACTTCTGTGGAAGGGCCCAACTCTAGAAAGGTCGCTCCACGTGCATCCTGCCCAACGGATCCAGTGGGAGAACCTCATTCAGCCAGTCCTCATGGCACCGCCTCCCAGCCCTCCTCCTCCTCTCTCTTGTAGCCAGCTATGCTCAGAAAACCACTCCAAAAGACACAGGCTCCTCCTGACTCTCTGGAAGCTGCTGGCTTAGAGCACTTAGGCCTGAAGCACGCAGAGAGCCACCCAGGCCGCTTACTCTCGCCTCAGGTCCTGCTGCTGCTATTTACATCAGCATGTTTAGACTTGAGTTTCCGCTCAAGCAAAGGGCAAGTGCAGATGAGGACGATAAACCACCGCACTGACGCCTGGCCCACGCACTCCTGATGCCAAGGGCTGTAGCCCTGGAGCCCTTAGGAATTGCTCCTGGAGTTCTGTTCTGATGACGACCACCCGGACCACCCAGGAGGGGCTGGCTGGTAGCCACATAAAGGTTTCAGTCACATCCCTGCCCTGATGCAATTTTGCAAGAATGGCTTGGAGATGACACACTTTACTACGTTCCACTCCCATGACAGGGAGCACATGATTGAGGCCGCTAGCCCGGGCCACGGGACCGGCTCTCCAGGGACAGGGAGAGCAGAGGCAGGCTGTGATTTTCCCTGGCTGTGCCCCTCCCTCTTTCACAGGCCTGCAGGGGCCTCAGGTGCAGGGCTGGGCTGGTGCCACCGCGGCAGTTCTCCTTCCCACCAGTAGGTGTCGCTGTCTCCTGCCTGGCCGGGCAGAGAACGTAGAACAGGCTAGGCTAGACTCGGCTGGGCTGGGCTGGGCTGGGCTGGGCGGGGGAGGAGGTGGGGTGGGGCGGGAGTTGGGGAGTGCCCCCTTTGTGGAGCGGAGGAGCAGCAGCTGCCACCAGCCGGAAGCCTGCTAGCTTTGCAGAGAACAATGGCTGCTTGTCACTGTGGACAGCTGTCTCCCAGGCAGGAACATGAGGCCGGCCGTGCTCCGATGGAATGCAGGCAGGGAGCCAGGGAGAGGGCAGGGGACCCGAACAAGCGGGAGAACTGCCTGGCACATACTGAGGCTAGAGGCTTTGTGCTTTTTCTTCTCCCTTTCTCCCACCTTGCTCCTCAGGCAGGTGCTAAGGCTGAGTTTAAAGTAACACAGTCAAAAAGAAAATGGCAAAGGAAGGGAAAATCCACCGGGAGGCCCACTGCCCGGATGGCCTGTCCAGAGGTGAATCTCTGGCGGGAGGGGCGAACCAGTATCGAGCCTCGCCCCTCGTGTCACCCCCCTGCAGAATGTGACTTACTCCCTGAATCGTTTGTGGTCCAACACGAACCAAGACTTTGGTGAAATGCAATGAAAAGGAATTACTAGGAAAATTAAAGAAAGTCACGCTAAGAGCGAGCCCTGATTTTTTATGATTAGAATCTCTGTCAAAGGCTCCGTGGGCCTCTCCATGCTCTCTCCCCGTTTCTGGGTTCCTCTGGCTGTGCTGCGCCAACAGCTGCCCCAGAAGCAGGCTGCCAGACCAGCCTCCATTTGCTGAGTGTCTCCACCCAATGGTCGTGACTTGGGTCAGTCGAGGCAAGGGGCCCGAGCTCTGGCGTTTTCTACCATCTGACCACGATGCTGCTTCCGGAAACCCAGTGATGGGTCAGGCTGCTGACTCTGAGCTCACTTGAGGCCACATTAGCTGAGGGAGAATAGCAAGTGTGTTTGAATTTGGCTGTGAGTTAGCACCCTGGTTTTCTCATGTGTAAAATGGGATAAGCACTGTGTATTTCCTGGGTATTTCTGTAACTTAAGTGAGACAGGACACAGGAAGGTGCTTGGGACCCAGCAGACGCCCCATCTCGTTGGCTGACTCTGTGCTGACCACCACAATCTACCACGCTGACTGTGTGCTGCTGGGTCACACTTTCTCTGCATCTCGATCCTGCCACCCTGTCATGAGCAAGCACCCTGGAACCCACCTCTCTGCGTCCCCCATTAACATGCTCCCCACAATGTCACCCTCTGTCTGTCACCTGCTAAGCAGCCTGGGGCCACATGAGAGGAAGGAGAACTCACAGGTCACAGGGGCCTTCTCTTCGTCTTCGTCCTCCTCCTGCTCGGGCAACTTCCTGAATTCAGAAAGGTCTGCCTGTAGCAACTGGGAAACAGCCTCATGGGCAAGAGACGCAGCAAGTGATGGCAGAGCATTCCTAGGGATGAGGGATGAGAAGTGAAGCTGGGCCAGTTCCTGAGCAGGAGCTCATGTGCAGCATCCCCACCCTGACTGTCAGCCCCAACATTCTGGACAGACCTCGGCTCCCTGCTCCACTGTGGCAGGCCCTTTTAGAGGCAGCAAAGATGGGGTGGCTTGCACCCAGCTGTGGGGTCATGACAAGTAGCGTGACTCTCTCCCCAGGCAGTTAGATGGGACGGTCACACAACATGCAAAGGCAGACACGCGACACGTGCTGGGGCTGCTGGGGCGAATGTGTCACAGAGATGTACAAGCTGTGTCCTTGGCCTCAGTGGCCAGGCAAACTGCCTGATGTCCAAGCTGACGACGGCTCCTAGTCCATGTGCCCAGAAGGGGAAGAGGAGTCACCAATGCAGCTTGGGGCCCCTGGGGGGTGGGGAGTGTTATGGGTTGAACCGTGCCCCCCCCAATTCAAATGCTGAAGCCCTAACCCCCAGTACCTCAGAACGGGACCTTATTTGGGAATAAGATCACTGCAGATAGAATTAGTTAAGATGAAGTTATATTGGAATAGGGATGAGACCACAAGTCAAGGAAGGCCAAAGATTGCCTACAAAACACAGTAAAGAACTAGCCCTGCTGTGGGCCACTTTGATTTCAGACTTCTAGTCTCCAGAAATGTGAGACAAAGCATTTCTGTGGATTAAGCTGCCAGGTCTGTGGTGCTTTGGTACAGCCACTCCAAGAAATGATCCAGAGAGCGTGGAACCCATGGGCTGCATTTTGCAGGAGAGGAGTGGCTGTGTGCAGCCCCAAGGATCCCTGGGCTGAGGTGAGGGGAGCAGAGGGTGGGCTGAGCTCTGTGGCAAAAGGGAGCCACTGACATTGGCCTGTGTTGAAGAGGGACACAGCACGATCAGATCAGGCTGTTAGTCCTCTTTGACCCTGGTGTGGACAGTGATAGGTAAATGCCGGCAGGGAGTTAGTAACAACCGTCCAGAGTGGGGAGGCCAAGGCTCAAGCTGGGCAGAGCTGTGGATGGCAGGGGACGGAATACAGTGACATCATCAGGGGTGGCTGATCAGGGGCTGGGGTGGAAGGAGGAGCAGGGAAAGCGTCGAAGTTTCTGTTCTTAGCATCTGGGGGGATGGTGGCATAATTAATTCACCAAAGAGGTCTGGGGGGCTGCAGGAACATGGTCTGGGCAGGAGATGAAGCTGTGGGATACAGGGGCCTGCAGGAGCTCGCCCACCTGGGATCAGCTGGAGAAGTGGGAATGACCCCAAGGGTGGCTTCCCGGGGGTCACAGAGGAATAATACTCAGATGTGACACTTGGTCAACTGCTTTGACTGTCACAGAACAGGACTGAGGAGTTGAGTGGACATGAGTGGGTGGACAGGGAGATCACTACAGGCTGGAAGGAAATGTAGCCTCGAATCAGGGGTCTCTGGCAGGTGGGCAGTGAAGAGAGACAAGCGGCAGACAGAGGGAAGAGTCTTGGGAATGGAGAGACTGAAGCCATCTGTGGCTGAGGAGGAGGGCAATGGATGGGGCTGCCCGAAATTCTGTGACACATACACCTTTCCACGCCTGCCCCCACCCCTCCACAAGGGCTCCACACCCCGGGGACTGGCTCAAACACCACATCCGCAGGAAGCCCTCCCTAGCTCTCCCAAGCAGAAGGGGTCACTCCGCCTGGTGACCCTGCAGCCTCTAGGATGCATCCTGATCCCTGGAATCTGCTTCCCACCCAGTGGCAGCCCCTGGAAGCTGCACGACATGCATTCACCCTCTGTGCCTGTCTTTGAGGGAGGGAGGCACACTTGGAGGCAGCTGGCCGATTCTCTGCTGGGCTGACACTCCTGGCTTTAACCGGAGGGTGAGGACCTTCCAACAGCCTGAGCCGACAGGTCATGTCCCATGGGGGCTAGGCATCTGATTCCTAAGACTGATAGTCGTAGGAATCTACCAGGATGAATTCCTGACTTTCTAAAATGAGAGGGTGACTCAAGGGAGAAGAAAACAACCAGCCAAGACGTGAGAAATGAGTTCCTCTGCCGTTCAGGGGTTTCCTGCCATCCACTGGGTTTTCCTTTTCCACAGCAAGGGAGAAGTGACGCCTGTTTCCCTTGGATCCGGTGAGGTCAGGCTTCGGCTTCCTGCCCACCCCCACTGCTGCTGCTGGGGGCAGGGAAGCAGCTTCCGGCTGTGGGGGCCCAGACAATGCCTGGCCATGGCCACCAGCATTCCCTTCCTGGACACTGCTCCTGCCTCATCTAAGGGTCCCACCCATGGACACGCCCTAGAGGCCCTCAGTCCTGAGTCCCTGCACCATGAAAGTCAACCTGATTCTGGTGTCTGCATGGTGGGCTCCTCCCATGGTCACAAGATGCCTCAGGGAACGGGCTGAGGTGGGACGAAGCACAGGCATCTGAGAAACGCTGCTCCTGCCCACCACATAAATACTTGCAGTGTAAGGTGTGCACTGCTTGGGTAACCAAAAAATGTGACACAAAACCGCTACCAAAAGGGGAAGATAGGACATAAAATTAAGCCACCCTGAACTGGGTAATCTGATTTCTGGATGGTCTCAGAAAGGATGCCATTTAAATCTGAAAAAGAGCCCACAGATCAATATACTTGGAGCCCATTATACCCAAGAGCCCAAACTTGGGCTGTGGGGACGGTGAGCTGTGCGTGAGCATGTGTGCGCACACATGTGTGTGAGCACTTGTGGATGGTCGGACACGGTGTAACAACATTTGAGGTTCAGACCCCAAGTGATGACTATACCTATGGACATCCATGTCTACATATGAAAGAAAATGCTAAAAAAGAAGAGAAATAATTTAAAATAAATCCATTAAGATGGCTAGAATAAAGACCTTAAAATACTACACTTTATTATACATTTTAAGGTGTGTTAAGGTGGACTCATTGGGGGTCTAAGGAGCCCCTTGTGGACAGCTATGCCATCCCCTCCAGCCTCAGGCCCCAGGGGCGCTTCGGTCCCTCACCACTCTCCCTGCCATGTCCCCGCCCTCACTCATTACTAACCCCTAAAATCCACCTCAAACAAGTCCTGGGCCTCCCTCACTGTACCTAGAATCCACTTGCCCCTGAGGCCCTGTGCCCCTGCAGACTCCTGGGACTGACCCAATTTTGGCTCAGACCCCTCCCCAGGCAGGGCTCCTGCTGCTCCTGCCCTCCCCACATCTCATGAGGGCTCACTCCATTGCCCCTCCAGGCTCCAGCTGCTGTGGCTTGTTCCTCTTCTGCACCTGTGCCCCCACTCAGAGGACCAGTGAACCCTGGGCTTTGTCATCTCCTGGGATGGCATCTCCGCCTGATCCTCAGCTCAGGCTTTGTCTCCTCCTCACACTGGGGCAGAGGTGTGACAATCTTCCTGGGTCTGGCTTTCCTTCCTGCCACCCCTGATACCTCAGGCCAGTGACAGCCCCTTGTCATCTCCAGGGAAGGCCCAGTGGCTGCTGGAGTACACTGAGAACTCCCTGGACTCCCTTGCTCTCTGCTGAGTGCCACTGGGTCCCTCTCCTCTGGGAAGGCTGAACTCCAGGGCCCTTCCCTCGCCTTTCCCACACCTAGCACCCCTGACGTGGCCCGTTCTGTTCCACCCTGGGGTCAATTCACTTATGCCACCTGTCTCCAAAATATTTGCTCAAAACAAGCCAGCAATACCTTTTGCACATGCCACACTCCCATGGAACATGGTCACCAGGCATTTCCTGAACTCTGTGTGTCTGTGGGGAACACTGGGGTGGACGTGGCCCCAAACACATACGTGCCACATGGCTGACACACTTAGTGACATCTGATTCCATGCTGCAAGGGCAAGCGTGTGTCACTGACTCTGCTGGGGCCTTGGGGTCACGGTCCATGCAGGAACAAAGTGGATCTGTTGTAACAGGGCAAAGGAAGTATGTGCTTAAGGGATATTGAGATGGTAGCCGCCGAGGCTGAAGGCTCTGTTGGGGGATGGCCCAGGACATGTCCTGGCTTTAGGGGATTTGCAGAGGACCCATGGGTAATGCTGGTACCAGGGACCATGGGCACATCCCCTCAGGGAGGATGAGGTTCACAGGGATGCTGTGTGGCCTGCTGGTCCTATCACCTCCGTGAGCCACTCCTTGTGGCAGACAGAGCAGCCTGACTCCAAGAGCCTGCCGCTGCCTGAGCAGAGAGGGACAGAGAAGACATCTGTCCTTCATTGTCTTTCATGGGATAAATACTTCCAGAATGAATGAATAAATGAAGTGGGGGGAGGACCAGGAGGCCCAGGCCGAGGTCTTCTGAAGAAGGGACCTCTGAGGTCAGCCTAGGAGGCTGGCGTGCTGTCTGCCCACAGACACGTTACTCTGTCTTCCTCAAGATCAGCTAAGCTGGTCGTGCCAGCTCTCTGTGCCTCAGTATCCTCACCTGTGAAATGGGACAACACCAGCTAACTCTTGATCCTTGGCCAGGGGGAACACGTGGCCCTGCCCTAACTGCAAGGTGTTGTGTGTCTCTTAACTCACTGATGTCTGCCTCCTCCACGGGACAGAAATAGGACCTACTGCTTAGCACCCGTTATGTGTTAAATTATGTCTCCCACAAAGACAATGAAGTCCTAATCCCCAGTGGCTCAGAACATGACCTTATTTGTAATTAGAGCCTTTGTAAAAATAATCTGTTAGGTTAAGATGAGGTCATACTACAGTGGGGTGGCCCCTGATCAAATATGACTTGTGTCCTTACAAGAAGAGGAGAAGCGACACAGACAGAGAGAGAGGCCATGAAGACACGAGTGCACAGGGAGAGCGCCACGGGCCACGGAGGGTGCATTTGGAGAGAGGAAACTACAAGCTGAGGAACACTAAGAAGTTGATGCCAGATGCTAAGAGAAAGGCCTGCAGCAGGTTCTCCCCTATGAACTTCGAGAGAGTGAAGCCCTGCTGACACCTTGGTCTTGAACTTCTGGCCTCCAGAACTGTGAGGGAACAAAGTTCTGGTGCTTCAAGCTGCCCAGGCTGTGGCACTTTGTTACAGCAGCCACAGGAGGCAGGACAGTGTCATCACGGGGATGCAGGTTAGGTCTGTGGCAGACACACCGCACCCCCTGCTCCCCCTCCGAGTGTACACAGGCCTACCTGCTGCCAAGGAAGCCCATCACCAGCTCGGCCAGCTCGCCTTCCACCTCCTCCTGGCTGAGCACTGTCCCTGGGGCCTTCCAGGGCAAAGGGCTCTGTGGGCTCAGAGGGGCTGGGAAGTCATGGAGGAGCGCATCCAGGAAGCCTGGGGTCTCCTCGGTGCCACAGGCCATCTGGCTGCTCTTCTGTGGGGCTCCAGAGGCCATGCCCGGAGCATCCCGGGGGGCCTGCAGCTGGGCTGGGGTGAGATGTCTCCAGTCAGTCTTCACTCTGAGGAGAGACGTCAGAGTCAGAATGTCCTGGGGCGACAGGTGCCCTGCAGTGTGCAATGCAGGGGTCCTGCTCTCTCTCGTCCTGCAAGTGTCGTGCAGCAGGCACCACACCACACCCTGGGCCTCATGTAAGGGAGCAACAACTGCAGCTGATGTCCTCACGTGGGTGTGAGTGAGGACATGGGTGCCCAAAGATGAGGCCATGTGGACATCTCAAAGGAGAAGTGATGGAGAAGGAAGATATATTCCTGGGACAGGGTGGCTAGTACGGCCAGAGGTGGGCAGGAGAGGGAGGCGGGGGCCAGGCCATGGAGGCAGGAGACGCGGATGAACTGGACCGTGGGACCCTGGTGATGCCATCAGGTCTTTGAGCCTGGAAGTGGTGACCAGACAGGAGAAGGGCTACCTGCCTGGCCCACGGCGGTGGTTTTGGGGGTGCAGAGAGAAGGGTCCACATGCAGGAGGGGCCGGTCCAGGGCTATTCTGGAGACGGAGCAGAGGGGGATCAGGAAGGGCTCCCCAGAGGCTGCCAGGCCACCCGAGGGGTAAGCAGAAGAGAAGCGGAGGGTTAACCTGGGACACGTACGTGGTCAAGCCTGTTAAATCCTCTCTAACAGGAGGAGTGAGTTGTGAGCTTATAAGGGCTCATGCCTCCTAAGCCCTGGCTGGGAGGTGCTATGGACAGCACTGGCTCTTGCCTCCTGGGCTCTTCCTCCCACATCCTCAGGAAGGCGGAAGGCTGACTAGCTGCCAGGCCCTGTGCACTGCTCTTGACACCCCAGGAACAAACTAGGATGAGCCACCATTTTACATATGAGAACACTGAGGCTTGGGGAGGGAGAGCCCCTCACCTGAGGTCTCAGAATGGAAGGAGGGACTCCAGAGCCTGAGCTGGTGTGCCTGAGGGCCTCAGTTGTCCAGGACTCAGGCCTCTGGCCCCCTGCCTCCACCCTCAGGTGGCATCCAGCTCCTCTTCTCTCCTAGCTTAGATCCGCAGAGCAGTGGCCAGACTAATCCTCTCTGTGCTCACATCTGGCCTTTCTCCTTTCTCCCAGCCTGTGTGCCTCTTCCGGTTCCCTAGTCTGCCACCCCCGTCAGACACCTCTATGGCTAAGCCAGACACCTGAGGGCCCACCTGTACATGAGCCCCTCTCTCACAGCCCTCCAGACCCAAACAGCCCTGGAACATTAGAGCGTCTCTCTCGCTTTCGTCTTCCTTTAATCACCCTGAGAGATTTGACCCATTTGCAGTGCTGCAGCCCAGCCCTCTCCAGATGCTACTTCCTACCACACACACACCTGAGCACACCTGGGCACATCACCTACCTGCCAGCAGTGCTCAGCTCAACACAGGCCCTTCTCTCTCCTGTCCCTTTCTTCTTGGCCAGCGTCTGCTCCCTCCGAGCCCTCTACCACAGGTTTCATCTGAGACCCAGACTAGGAAGCTTTCTTTGGGAACAAGCCCACACATTTAACACCCAGGGAAATAAACAGGGTTCCGTTCTGGTGACAAATTGACGTGAGAGCCTGAGGAGCACCCCGAGTTCCAGGCAGGAGAATCTGGGAAGCAGTTTCATGGCCTATCCCTTCCCTGAAGCCTTCCAGGTTCTGATAGCTGAATGGAGAGGGCAGAACCACAGGGGAGAATCTTCCAGAATCATCAGTCTTAGAATATCCACAGACTGTGCCTCCAAACTTTGTCAAAAGGGCAGCTGTGGGCAGGGGTGTGAAGGTGAAAATAAGAAGAGATGATGGGAGCCAGTGGCCCACCGAACACTGCCAGGGAGGGGTTGTCCTTATCAAGAGTCACTAACTTAAGGCCGGCCCGTGGCTCACTCGGTAGAGTGCGGTGCTGATAACACCAAGGCCACGGGTTCGGATCCCATATAGGGATGGCCGGTTTGCTCACTGGCTGAGCGTGGTGCTGACAACACCAAGTCAAGGGTTGAGATCCCCTTACCGGTCATCTTTAAAAAAAAAAAAAAAAAAAGAGTCACTAACTTAGAACGAATCTTCCAGATGCATGAAGATAAAAAACACAAAAGGAGAAGTGGGGGAGGGTCCCAGCCAGCGCCAAGTTAAATGTCTGATCAGTGAAGGATTTGGAGCACAAAGGGCGAAGGGTGGTAAATTTAAAAAACACAAAACCTCTCTCTTCTTTCAAAGACCAGATAGAAAGTTAATTTATTTTAAGTAGATACGTAAAAATGATATAGAAATAAGGGCACTCCATACCGGCCAGCAACCAAAAACAAAGGCACTTGCTATCGAAGGTTATGGGGATAGACTTAAATTCATCACTATCTTTCAAATTTACTCAAGTAGAAGTAGAACGTAGCCTGGGTCACAACAGGCAAACAGGTAAAAAAAATACAGCATGTAAAACAAAGAAGAAATCAGCAGGAGAGCAAAAGGGACACTTACATTAGAACCACAAAGAGAAGACTCTGTGAAATGGAGAAATGAGAAGAGCTGGGGACCTGGGTGCGGGGTGACAGGGAGGGTCAACAGAGGAGAAGGGAGGGCCTGCCAGCAGAGCTGCAGAGCAGGACAATTAAGCTGATGAGAAAACAAGGAGGTGGCATGCATTTCCCAGCAAGCTGGGATGCCCTTGAGCAGAAAAAGAGGCCAAGTCCCCTCCTCTGCCTGTGAACCGCTCTGGCCTCCTGGTGCTTATGGGAGAAAAATGTGAACAATGCAGCACTGTCCCCAGTAACTGCCAGCGCCTGGAGCCTGGGGTCTGAGCCTGGGGTCTGGGAGACACTACCCCCTCCCATGCAATTTGAAGTGACCTAGACGCCATGAAATCTCAGCCATGTGAAATGTGCTCATGTAAATTTACGATTAGGATCAGAATGAAAGGACTGCCACTCACCCCCACAAATACAGACAGCCTCAGCTGGAGAAACCCCGGCCCACAGGGTAAAGCCCCACATTCAAGTACAGAATTTAAGACCCTTCACTTTTGATTCCACTTGTTTGACTTTTTGGAATGCAGGTGCCTCCTGCCTGCCTCAGGGTGCTGCGTCCAGTGCCTGAAGCCCCTCCCTGCAGTCTGCCTGTTTCCCTGAGGCTGGAGGCCCTACCTCTGTGCATTGCACCACTATAGACCCCTCCCCCCCACAGTGTGCCCCTGCTCATGGGGGGCTGTGGTTGGGTGCCTGGACACATGTCTGTCCTCCATGTCCTGTCCCCACCACCCCTAGCCCAGGGCCCAGCACGGGCCTCCACCATGCACACTTGGTGGGGTGTGGGGTCCAGGCAGCATTCTGCCTGCATCTGCAGAGTGGATGGGCTGGCTTCCTCTCAGGGCTTGCGCCAGCTGTCCGCTTTCACTACAAAGGCAGGGTGCACAGAGCCAACCTACTTGCTGGGGACTAACCAGGCTCATTTCTGCATCGCCCTGCACAGGCAACGGGTAAGGAGAGGAACCAGGACACAGCCTTTCCTTCCCTGGGGCTCAGCTGGGATAAAGGACAAGAATAACTACCTTTCTTGTCCTTCCTTTTATCAATAAACTCTGGAACCTAATGTACGCCATACAGATGTAAACAAAACGATCCCTGCCCTCAGGAGCCTACGACCTAGAGATAAAGGCATATATCGGGGCAGTGAGGGAAGGAGAAATTCCTAACCCAAAGGGGTAACAGTGGCATCCCTGAGAGTGCCTGGAGGGACAGGGGATTGTGCCATGGCTCTGAGTTCTTGTGGGATCACCTGGAGCAGACATAATCTCAGGAATAATGTGGCAGCTAGCTGGTAAGCAGGAAAAGGGGGTGTGGAGAGCAGGCTGGGCCTGGGGCAGGCTTATCCTGACTGGGGCAGAGGAGTGGAGGGCTCAGAGGGGGAGGGATGCATGCATGAGTCTGCGCAAGTCACCAAGGGCCTGGAGGGCTCAGAGGGGGAGGGACGCATGCATGAGTCTGCACAAGTCACCAAGGGCCTGGGGTGGGTATGAGTGGGACATTGGGTTCCCAATGCCAGTGCTGTATATCTTGACCAGTCTGGCCAAATGGAACCATTAGCTGGTTCCTCCTGGCTCCCAGAACTGCACCTCTCTGCACTTCTCATCAGCTGGCAGCCGCAGTGGTGGGATTAACGGTGTTGCCAGCTAACACTTGCCAGGGGCCTTGGGGTGCTGTCATTGCTCTGAGCACTCTTCCTGTGTCACTTCTTTTAACCTTCCCAAAACCTTTTGTTGTTATCCCACCTTTATAGGCACAGGCTGCAGCATAAAGGCTAAGGAACGTTCCCAGAATCCGTTGGTGGGGTTCGCGCTGGGGAACCTGGTCCCTAACAGCAACTGAAACCCCGGGAGGTCATTCTGAATCCTTTCTGTCCCTGGCCCACCCCTCATCAGTCACCGACCCCAGGAATTGGCTCTCTTGAGGCTCCTCCTTTCATTTCTGCACCCACGGCCCTAGTACAACCCCTCACCTCCTGGCCCTGAACTAATTCTGCAGTCCCCCTGCACTTCCATTGTGCTCCAAGATCTCTGATCCTTCAAGGCTCTGCTGAAATCTTCCCACCTTTGGGATCCAGGACACTGTCGTCCATGACTCTACAGCGCTTTTGCTCACACCTGCCTTGTAAAGATTTTCTTTCTTTTTAACTTGAAATATTTATTTTCCTTTGGTTTACCGGTTTTGACACAACTACATTTTTCTAGTTGGTACAGACACAATACTTGAGTCTTGCTTAACCTCAGAACTTGGGTAATGAAAAAAATAGCAATCCTTAGAAAAGGAAACAGCGTCATCATTGTTACAAAAGTATCATATTCATTGCTAAATTTTTTTTGTACCAACGGAGAATCTTTTTTCTTTAATCATAAATAACCACTGGCGGGCCGAGCCCGTGGTGCACTCGGGAGAGTGCGGTGCTGGGAGCGCAACAGCACTCCCGCCGCGGGTTCGGATCCTATATAGGGATGACAGATGCGCTGACAGCGCTCACTGGCTGAGTGCGGCGCGGCCAGTCTCAAAAAAGGA